TTTTTAATGGGAATAGTCAATGCCTAGTTAGAGCTGATCTCAGTTCCAAGGCCCAGTGACACTGTCATTATTCACTCTCCGTGGGCAGGAACTGCCTGTCCCCAGTGTCCACTGCCCCTTCATGCAGGCCAACTTCATGCCCTCTCATCTCGCTCTGTACCCGACATTGAGCAAAGCACCTCACGGGCATCATTCATTTAATCCGGGCAGAAGCTCCCCATAGGAAACACCTACAGGACACATGCATAAATCACTGTGGTTGCCATTGGTTTGGGGGCTGTGGTGGTGGTGGTTGTATTCAGTAGGGCCAGCCGAGGTGGGGGGGTGAGAAGCCACACTGAAAGCAAATCCTTACACCATCCTGTCCCCTAAAATACATGTGGATATGCAGCACAGGACTGCTGTGAGGGTGAGGAGCCTGGTTTCCTCCCAGGTCTGACAGACACTCAGTGAGCGGGACCGGGGTCTTCCTTGTTAGAAACAACGGGCTTCACCATCACAGAAGCTTTATTAAATCATATAGTTAAGTAATAAATTAACACCAGACGTCAAACCCTACATATAACAGGGTAGTTACCTCTAGGAGCTTCAATGATTAAAAAAGAGAGAGTGTAGGCCCAGGGGTTTTCTTTGAAGGAGAGAAGTGACTGGCGTAAAGGCCGGTCAACTTTCAACTCAGCAGCAAAAAAGAGGTGTATGCATTGAAGACCTCAAGCATTTTTCCAAAGGATGAGAAAGGAGAGGAGAGCTCAATGATCTTCATATGTAGGGCGTCATTCTTTACACTCAGGACACAATCATCTCTACAGCTGTCTTGAAATTGGCAGGTGTGCAAAACGAGAACCATTTAAAAATTTGAAATTATTTAATGATTTCATCCCTTGCACTGACTGCTATCTCTATGTATTTAAAACATTTTAATCTTAAGGGCTATAGACAGCATTGCCAAGATGACAGATGTCTCAGAATGGAACACTGGGGGAAGATCCTGGTAAGGTCATTGTCCAAGGTCACCACTAGGCTTACACCCTGGGGGGCCTCAGGGGTGGGGGTCCCAGGCCCCGGCAGAGTCCTGGAGTTGGGGCTGTCAGCCCTGGACTCCAGGGCGACTGTGTGGACAAGGCATGATGAATCAGGGGCACCAACAGTTTCCTTCCATCATTCCTGTGAAGCTCTGAAGTTGTGTTAGCACCTGGGGATATATTTTTAAGTGAATGCCCTTCCTGTGACTCGGGGTGATCCATTATGGCAGCTCACTGTGACACCTCTAAGGAGCACGCCGCATCCTCCATCCAAATTATAGTCACCTTTTGTCTTTGGATACATGTTTTAATTTCAACAGACCTACAGACATCGACATTTAAAATATTTATCAATTTAGACCATGCCAAGTAATCTGTTATTTATGAAGAAACTGCCCACTTACCCTGTGTCTGTTAAGCTATTTGATATAAAAGGTAGGTCATCTTCTTTCCATTTCTGCAAATAATAACTCTGAGGAAGAGCAGAGATACGTGGTCAGGAAGTGAATGCCCCTCCTGGTGACTCGGGGTGATCTATTACAGCAGCTCGCTGTGACATCTCTAAGGAGCACGCCGCATCCTCCATCCAAATCACTTTCAAATCAATCACGGTCATCGGGCTGCTTGCTGAGGTGGATGGCTGCAGGACAGATGTTTTGGTGTCTGGGATGAAATGTTAGGTGTTGCAAGAACTTGGCCTAGGAAAGCTTTCTGTGCAAGCCTGACAAATTGTGTCAAGAGCAGGAGACGGGATATTCTTTGTTGAAATGCTGCATTTTGATCAATTAATCCCTGAGTTTTGATGCCAGAGACAATGCTAACCAAACATTTTCTGATTGCATCTCTTTTCAAGGCCTCGTTTACACCCAAAACGTTTCTGCAATATTGCCAATGCGTGTGTATATTTACCGCCCAAAGTCAGCTGGACATCTGTGAATGTGAATCCAACACCGGGAAGCTAGTGTAGTGCAGGTAACTTCAGAAAGTTAGATGCTTCTTGACACAGAAACACCCACGTGGATCTCATGTTTGGAATGAGGTTCGGCATGGGCAACCCCGAAAGCTCTGCTAAGGCCGCAGTGTTTTCCCGTCTGGGGCGGTTAGTAAGCGCACGACGCACATTCGCACACTTTGGGATTTCGGGTCTTTTTACACACGTACTATATTATCAGTTACTTTTATTATTTCTGCATAATGTTGTATTTACTTTAACGATTTAACCTGGATGGCATTTGCTCCTAGATGGCCTAGCTATACCGTGATCCATTTAACTGTAACGTATCACTTTGTAAACTACGTTTTTGTTACTTGTTTATAATTGAAAATAAGGACACAAAACCATCCTGCATCACACAGGGAGAGCGTGTGGTGTTGTAACCAAAGACTTGAGACCACTAGACAAAACCAGACTGTGGAGCCCTGCCTTTGAAATATGATTTAAAACAGAATTTATAATGTCGCAGAATTACATAAAACTGTGTGAAATTGTGCAGATAATCATTTAAATCTCCCTACATGAAAAGATAATTGCTCCAGAAATTAACTGTACCTGGGGTTCATTCATTTGGTCATGGCTAGTTTCTTGTGTAGCGATGATTTGATATTAGAGCTAATTAAGATCAGGTCAGAGTTGCTGAAGGTCAGACATTAATGTGTGGGATCATTGAAATGATAATTATAAACAGATTAGGAAGCCACGGTCTTTCATGAGGGGTTATTGGATAATTGCTAGGAGGGGAACGGCTTACTGTAATAATGCATTATCGACTACTTACAGCATTTTAAGGGTGAGAGTGTATTACTTCCTCAAGGACTAAAGAATAATGTTGTCAAAACCCAGCTCAGTAAATAAAGTAGAAGAGTGTTGGCGACATCCCTTTTCCTCCTGGAAGTGTGTTTATTTTGGGGGGATGCCCTGGTTTGCCCCGAGTATAAGGATGGCGGGTCTCAGGAGGGCTAAAGAAGGAAAATAATATGGCCAATCCGGACCATCAGACAAGGCGAGCAGTGGGACGTGGAAGGCTGTTCTTTCCTCTTCGGTTCATTTATTCAGGCTCTGCCGAATATTGGAAATCTATAGCAGTGCACGGTGCAGTGGAACGTGGTTGGGTCCATTTACATGGCCTGCAGCACAGGACTGCGTTTGGCTCAGGTGTTTGCTTCTCTGAGCATCTCGACAGTTTAATGAGGTGAGATTTCAGTGAGGCAATGGGCGCCGGGCCCTATAGAACCTGGGGCTTCCGTGGGGCAGGGGACCCGAAGCTCAAACCCCGTGGTTGGCGTTCGCCTGTGATGCCTTTGCCTCAGGTCACTTCACAGAGGAAAACTTCCCAGAGACGAAAATGGCTCAGGAGGGAGAAATAGGCTCATTTTCACAGGCTCTCAGATCTGAGTGCGCTTGAGTCCACAGACCTGTCCCCTCGGTGCAATTTTGATAAAACAGCTATACTGCCTTTCAAGCCTTCATCCTCTAGGAGCGTGCGGCACGGAGGTTTGACAGGCCCGAGTCCTGCTGGGGGTCAGGATGGCCGGGGTCCCGCAACAAGGGCATGCTGATTCCGATGCCACTTTGTTGAAGCAAGGGGTCCACTGGGTAACCTCCGGGTCACTATGTGTCACAGGGACGTGTCATGGGGACGTGTCAGGGACTGTGTCATGGAGACGTGTCAGGGGACGTGTCACGCGACGTGTCACGGGACGTGTCAGGGGGACGTGTCACAGTGACATGTCACAGGGACGTGTCAGGGGATGTGTCACGGGGATGGGGACCTGTCACGTGATGTGTCAGGGGACGTGTCACAGGGACGTGTCACAGGGACATCTCTGGGGGACGTGTCGCGGGACATGTCATGGGGATGTATCACAGGGACGGGTCACAGGGACATGTCAGGGGGACGTGTCACGGGACGTGTCATGGGGATGTATCACAGGGACGTGTCACGGGGACATCTCTGGGGGACGTGTCACGGGACGTGTCATGGGGATGTATCACAGGGACGTGTCACAGGGACATGTCAGGGGATGTGTCACAGGGATGGGGACGTGTTAGGGGATGTGTCACGTGATGTGTCACGAGACGTGTCAGGGGGACGTGTCACAGTGATGTGTCACAGGGACGTGTCAGGGGATATGTCACGGGGACGGGGATGTGTCAGGGGACATGTCATGTGATTGTCAGGGGGACGTGTCAGGGAATGTGTCACGGAGACGTGTCAGGGGACGTGTCACACGACATGTCACGGGACGTGTCATGGGGACGTGTCACAGGGACGTGCCACGGGGACATCTCTGGGGGACATGTCAGGGGACGTGTCACGTGATGTGTCATGAGACGTGTCAGGGGGACATGTCACAGTGACGTGTCACAGGGACGTGTCAGGGGATATGTCACAGGGATGGGGACATGTCAGGGGATGTGTCACGTGACGTGTCACGAGATGTGTCAGGGGGACGTGTCACAGTGACGTGTCACAGGGATGTGTCAGGGGATGTGTCACGGGGACAGGGACGTGTCAGGGGACATGTCATGTGACGTGTCAGGGGGACGTGTCACAGTGACGTGTCACAGTGACGTGTCAGGGGATGTGTCATGGGGATGGGGACGTGTCAGGGGATGGGTCAGGGGGATGTGTCATGGGATGTGTCATGGGGACATCTCTGGGGGACATGTCACGGGATGTGTCATGGGGACGTGTCACGGGGACGTGTCATGGGGACATCTCTGGGGGACGTGTCACGGGACATGTCAGGGGGACGTGTCACAGGGACGTGTCATGGGGATGTGTCACAGGGACGTATCAGGGGGATGTGTCAGTGGACGCGTCGGGGTATGTATCGGGGGATGTGTCACAGGGACGTCTCTGGGAGACGTGTCACAGGGACGTGTCAGGGGACGTGTCAGGGGGATGTGTCATGGGACGTGTCATGGGGACATGTCAGGGGGACGTGTCACGGGGATGTGTCACAGGGATGTGTCAGGGGGCCTCAGAAGCAGCTGGCACTCTGGGACAGGCGGGGACAAAGCCGCAGACAGTCACGGGCCTCAGCAGAAGCTGTGCCCTGGGGGCGCGTCCTGTGCGCAGAGCCTGGGGCTCCGAGCCGGCCGCGGCATGTCTGGTCCGGGCAGCTTCCCGAGTGGCTCCTGGTCACCTCCTCACAGATCCCTCCTCACGGGACACCTTTCACAGATGCTTTTCAGTCTGACTCTCCCAGACTTCGTCCGTGGGAGCGCTCAGTTTTCAGTAATCCGTGGAGAGGGCCGTGAGCGACCCACAGGTGGCACAGAAGCGGGACTGAGGCGTGGCGGCTGTCCCTGGATGGGCAGGGGGCACCATCTGCCAGCCGCGTCCGCCTGGGGCTCCACGGCAGGCGCAGTCCGCCCCACGCCTCCAGGAGGGACTGCGTCTCTCGAGAAGGTCCCACACAGGTGGTTTGAACAACCCTCCCGCTCGTGATCTGGGTGCTATGCCAGCAGAAGACGCTCTTCTGCCTAGGAAAGAAGCGTAATCGGAAACACACGTTGCTTGAAGCTTTGGTGTCCTGGGCGTCCCAAGAGAGGCAACCGAGAGGACCCCGAACGCCGGATCCCAACAGGGCAGCTGGCACTTGGCACCATTGTTACTGCTCCTGGAAAAGAGCCTGGGCAGAGTGTGCGGAAGATGAACATCTGAGGTGCACACGTGCTCTCAGAAGAGCAGGGCAGAATCTCGCGGCCGCCCAGTGGTCCAGGAGTGAGAGCAGGGCCAGCCCTCGGGGGGCTCAGGACTCACTTCGTCCCCCGAAGCGCGGGAGTCCTGGGGCTCTGAGATGGTGGCTCATGAGTCCAAGGGAAGCCGTCGTGCTGAGTCTGCTTTGGACAGTTGCCCAGGTCAGAGGGGACTCTGTTCCACGACTGAGAGCCCACAGCATTTAGCACCAACCTCCCGCCTGTCAAGAGGGAGGCAGCCGGGATGCCGAGGTCCGGGCCCCCCTCGCCTCTGCCTCTCCTGAGCGACACTCGCAGGGCCTCCCAGAAAAAGCAAAGGGTCCCGTTTGAGGTGGAGGAGGAAGGCTGAGGAATGGGAGCTGAACATGTCCTGCGACCTGGACCTCTGCCAGAGCTCCTGGCTTGCTCGCCCCCAGCGTGTGGAGGTGACCCACGGCCGCAGCAGGAGGGCACCTTGTCCCGGGCCCAGGCCTCGGGGAGGCAGGGAAGGCCTCTCTTCTGACACTGGACGGCTGAAGGAGAGTTGCAGGGCCTGCGGGGGAAAAGCAGACACAGGAGGCAAAGTGAGAACAGCAGGAGACATGAAGCTAATCGTGAGCAGTCTTGGGCCCGGGGCCAGTTCGGAGGACCCTCAGCGCCTGCATTGCCCGCTGAAGGGGACAGAGAGTCAGGCCGCAGTCTGGCTGTGGCCGCGCTCCAAGGAAAACTCTTGCGGTAGGAATTTCTGAACGGCCAAGAAGATTCCCGATTCCTTTTTTAAATGTTTATATTGGAGCTCGTGTCTTTCTTGCTAGAATCCCATTCACCCAAAACTCAAATGGCTTATTTTGTTACAGATGCACATTGGAATTTGGCAAAACACGGCCAAATATAAAGTGGTGTTTGTCGTCCACCTTAAACTCATGTAAATCTGATCATCCTACCAGTGACTTCTAATAACCACGTTGTTCCAAAGAGACAGCAAGGCTTCAGAAATGAGGTGAGTCCCTGTATGGATGAGACATTTGGTAAGTGACTTTTGGATTTCCTTGCGTTTGTGATTGCCCAGCCAGAGGCCACGCTCTTCTTAACTCGTGACATTTTGGTCTGGTTCCGTTAAACCCGGAATAAAACAAAACCCAGCCTTTTATCGAGGCAGGAACTCTAGCATATCCTGAGATATTCTGGGACACACAGAATCCATGCCCAAATAAGTCTGGGATGCGCAACATGCAATATTTCTTAGAGACTCAGAGCACAGACCAATCTTCTGAGGTTGAAAATTCCTGTAGTAAGTAAGTATAAGCCACTTTGTATGGTGCCTGTTTCTCAAACTTCTTCAACAACAGAACACCCCTAATGTGACACAGTAAGACCATTCCACAAAAAGGTGTGTTTCCAGAAAGCACCCTGGGTAATACCTTTTATTTTCAGATGCACTGAGTGGGAAGAACTGGGCTCATGTCCGTTATTCATAAGTTGGGTTCGTGTCTGAGCGTAGGGATTCTTACATGCAACGGTCTCTATAATTTTGTAATTCTTCACTCAAAGTTTTCACAGCGGGGAATCGATCCCTGTCTTCTGCCAAGTGTTTTCATGAGAGTTATTTGTGGTAGTTCTTAGGAATCTACTTTCAGCTTTCGTTTAGAGACGTTTAAACCATATGACTATAAGCTTCCTTTACCTTTCTACAAGAATCACCTATTAACTATGGTATGAAAGGCTTAACCCAGCCAGGGTTGAATTGGAACGGAGCTTTGATGTGGGCAAGGCAGCCAGCTCCATGGAGATCAGTCCATTCTGTTGTAAATTGAGAAGCTCAAGAGTCCAGGAGGAGCATGGCCTAAAATCTGAGGCTCACAAGAGACGCAGAAAGACATTCATAGGTTGTGTTATTTGAAGATCAAGGACGATTTGGATTTGGTTCAGAAATGTTCCACATTTCCAAAGCAGTCTTACCAGACGGAATCAAAATGTTTCATTATGATTTTAAAAAACAAAAGTTTTAGGTGGTGGCATACCCAGGACGTCTAAAATTCATTCTGCATACTAAAGAGCTTACAACTGTCAACCCTAAATAGAAATCTAAGAAATCCACCAATAGGAATTCAGAAATTTCATCATGTTGACTTTTTGGAATAAATAGACCCTGTCAAGTCTCTGTCTCTCTTCCTTTTTTTAGAAGTAGCTGTAGTGTTTTGTAATGTGGAGCTAATTCTGAGTAGTATATACTGCCTGGTCTACTAGACACTGTTTAGTATAACCTCGTTTAGCAGAAGACTCGGGTTCGGTGCCCCACCCCAGTCTGATGGGGGACCCTCGTCCCGCTCAGCCCCCACAGAGGTGCCCAGAGTCAGGATGACCCCTCAGCCTTGTTGTCCACATTTTATCTACCAAAGATAAACAAGAAACAGGAGACCTGGACTTTTCTCCCTGTTGCCGTTTACTAGCTATGCACATTTGTGCAGAAACTTCCTTCTGAGCCTCACTTGCTCATCTCAAATGTCGGGGCAGGACTCTGCTCCTGTTCCTCAAGGGTGGGGTAAACTCAAGGGATCTCATGAAACTACCATCTGACTCAGTGAACGCCAATATGATTGAATACGTTTGATGAAATAAATTAGACCAAAAATGTAAATATTTGATAACTGGCTCGTAGAGTGTTTTTCATCCCTCAAAGAAGAACGCATGTATTCAAAGGTTTAGCTTTTCCAGCAGAGCATTCCAGGCTGACTCTGAGATCCGAGGAAGTGTGCTCTGCTTCCACTGAGCTCCTCCCTGTCTCGCTTAGTCAATGATGACAGAAAAGGAAGAAAATGTGTATCTTCAACTGCTGAAAATTCTGGCTTCCTGTTCACTCTCAGAGGTATGGAGGGAACATTAAGGATGCTTTCCTATTGTGAACTTCGGTCCATAGTTTCTAACGTCTTTATGCTCGACTGATCCATTTGGGGGCAGAATCTTCTCAAAGCTACACCTAGTCACTCGTAGGGCCCTTCTTCACTCTACATGGCTGCCCGTCTGCAAACCGCATCTACTTCTTCTGAATGTCACACAGGTCTTCAGAAGGCCCAGATAGGGGGTTGGCAGCATCTGAGCCACACGCGCAAGGCTGCCACCGTCTCCTGAGTGATCCTTGTCTCTGGTGAGGATGTGTTGGAATTCGGGAAAGACCCAAAGTGCTTGGAAATTTCCCAGTAGGCAAAATTGCTGCATGTCACAGCCAGACTACACGTGACAGTCTAAGTTCCGACTTAGAGCAGAAGGCTGGGACGCCACATCCCACCTTGGAGGTGTAGACTCTACATGCGGTTGCAGAGCTGTTATAGTCCTGTTGGTTGAAAGCCCAAGGCATTTGTGTGTGTTAAAGCATCTTTACTGTGCACCTGTGTTGAAAGTTCCTCACCCATTTAAATGCAATCTGAGGTTGATTGAAGCTAGACCCTGAGAGGAAGCTTACTAAAATAAATGGGTTCTTTATCTTATAAAAATATGACCTTTTTGTTCGATTTGTTTATTGTTTTTATTTTGGTTTTCTTTTAGGAACTTGGTATTTGGAGATCTTTTCAGTCTCTGAATCATTTGACTGTGGTCAAAACTGCGCTATGAGCCCAGAATAATGCAAGCAACAACACTGGTTTTAAGACTAATAAAATAATGACATTTCTTGTTTAATGTCCTACGTTATGAATGATTCTATTAAATTTCCATGTGGCATTATAACAGCGTAAACACAGGTCATCAAAGAGACTCACACCTGGGCCAGCAAGACAACCCTGGTGGCCCACTGTGAGGCGTTCTGGCTGGCCTGTCCAGGGTCTACATAAGAGGACAGAGTGCCCGCAGGGGGTGTGTGGGCTCAGGGATGGAGGGACAATATATTATTCAGGGCCTGGCACATAGTAGGTGTTCAATAAATACTTGCTTGAATGATTGGGGGGAACTCACCAGGCATTTAGTTATTTCAGTGCACCTGAACCTCTCAGATGTCTTTGCTAAGTCTATTTGACGAAAACATATAAAGAAACCCATTGTGTTCTTCAACGTCCGCTGCCCGCTGAAGGGGACGGAGAGTCAGGCCGCAACCTGGCTGTGGCCATACTCCAAGGAAAACTCTTGCGGTAGAAAATCCAATGAGGATTTTCTTTTTACAAAGTGTTTGGTCAGTGATCAATCTGACTGAAATATGTTGGCCCTATTCCCTCTCCTTGGATGCTCTACTGTGACCCTTCCAGTTGTCCACCCCCAAGGCCCCTCTTCCCTCCTGGCTCCCCGCTTTCTCTGTCCCCTGCCCCCACTCTGCTTTCATATGCCTGTCTGAATTGCCATCCATCGTGGCCCAGGCAGTGTCCTCCACGGTCGGCCAGAGGCATGACTGCGAATCAATGTGGGTGAACGGTATCTCCCTGTCAGACACTGGAACGGCTGGGAGCCATGCCTGCCCCCACCCGTCAACTGAGGCCCCACCCAGGGTGGAAATGCGCCTGCCCTCTCTGCTGAGAGGCTCTGGGGACTCCCCCACCCGCCTATGTCCATCAGATGTGCTGATGGGCATGAATGGGGTGGCGGGGGGAGTCCCTTGCCTGCTTGCACCTGTCAGCAGAGCTGATGGGCAGGGAAAGGTGGGGGAGGCCCCCTCCCATGCTGTCAACCAGCTGACAGACAAGTGTAAGTGGGCAAGGCCCCTGGCCTCTCCTGGTCAGATGGGGGAGTTGCTTGACTGGGGAGTGGATGGGGGTTTCGCTTGCCTGGCAGACTGAGGGGCTGTAAGTGTTGGAGGCAGAAGGGTCTACATAGACGAGGCTGAAAGGCAGGGCTGGTGCGCGTGTGTGCACGTGTATGCGCGAACCTTCTTTTTAATGTGAAAATGTGGCCCCAGAGGCACGCTGTGGTGCTCTCACTGAGTCACAGCATTTGTCTTACAGCAATCGGGGCAATGGCAACCTTTTGTCCACGGAGTACGCTACAGAGGGGACTTTCCCATAAATACGCTTTCAGAAATGAAGGAGGGATGCAAGGACCATATTTGTTAAGTTTGAGCTTCAAATTTGTAAGAAAAATACTTGAATATATTTTTCATATTTATAACCTAAACTAGTAAACTCGTCTCTTTTCTCTTGGTAGGAAAAGGATGTGGATTCTGAATCCTTCACCGAGTGGTTTCAGTTTTTTTTTCTTTCTTAAGTTAGAACCCCTTCACCCCAGTGACATTTAATGAAAAGGTCTGGATGCAGGTCTCAGGCACGAAAATTTGTTTTTGATGAGAAATGTTATGTACTGCTCACTTTATTGGCATTTTTACCACGTTGGTATGCTGAAGCTTCCACGGGACTCAAGCTTTAGCCACATTTTCGTGGAAGTTGAGGCCTTTCCGGAAGTGAGTCTGTGGAGAAGGTGGTAATAGAGTCACACCCCTTGGAAAGGAAGTAGTGTTGAGCATTTTGTGACTTGGTATCTGGCCGGCTCCACACAACCTGCAAAAACATGGGAAATGTTTTAGTGATTCATGAGGTAAACAGAACGCTTTGTTTCATAGAAACTCAAAAAAATCTGCGATTTGGAGGAAGGAATTTGGGATTTACTCCAGTCCCATTTTCTTTCCATGTAATAAACAATGAAATGCCTAGTTTTGCATAGCTGGAGAGTTAGGTGCCAACGAATCAAGAACAAGCTGTCAACAAAGTCTTTCTTAAGGCAGAACTCTGTGTTGTTCTGAAGATTAATTTGGAGGAAGGGTGTTTTTTATAGAAAAAAAGTTTGATCACTTTCAAAATTTCCTGATTATGGTCTCTTGAAATAACCCAGTAAAAACTGGATCATATAATCTCGGAAATTTGTGTGGGAAGATCTTACAGATAGTCAACCATTTGAAGGCAAGGTCAACCCATTACTCAAGGGTATGTACCTTCTCTCACCAAAGAGTGATGCTAGGAAGAGTGGACACAAGCAGTTGAACATGAAGGATAGTAAATGTATCCCCTTCACCTTGAAATACACCTGTTATTCCCATATTCCTAAGCCTTAATTTCATCATCTTGACTCATTAATGAATGAAGTATCAAACCAGGCTTTCAAAAGATAGAGAATTTGTTGTTTTGCCGCTTCTTCTTTTTTATTTTGAGGCATACGGGTACAGTGTTTATCCTGACTCATCAGTAGAGATTCTGTTGGTAGGACCAATGTGTTGCCATGACACGGAGCATTGTTTTGTGGTTCTTCATTATTGACTTGGGCATTAATGGTTGGGTTAAAAAAAAAAAAAAAGACAACAAAAAACATGTCACAACTGGACCAGGGAAGAGAGGCTTTTATTTCTGTTTTGTTTCCTTTTATTCCTGGGAAACTTGAATATGTGATTCATACTAATGTGACAGGTACACATTGAAAGACAGCTCTCGTCTTTTCATCTGGAGCCATGGATTTAGCCTTACTCCTTAGGTTGGTCTTTGCTTCAAGCATAGAATCCAGAAAAAGAGAAGTGAGAATCATTCTGTGCGTTACTGGACTGTTTTCCTTTTATGCTCTACACTGGTCATTTTATATCTGGAGTAGCACATCTGGTTTGAGAAGCAACATTTAGAAAAGATGCCTGAAAAGGAGAATATCCAGAAGAGGATCTCGCAAATGGCAAAGATCTTCGATGACATGTATGAGAAATAGCTGAAGTTACTAGAGAAATTTAAAGCAAGGAGTAGAACACTTGGCTGGGATCTTAAAAGGTGTGTGAAATACATTTGAAAGAGACATTACAGGATAGTTCTGGTCATGTTGGACAACTGATCTAGGATCCACCAAAGAGTCAAGTTCTACTGAACTAGGCATGGGGCAAATTAAACAATGGTCTGCTCGGTAGAGTCTTTAGCATACAATATTCATAAGTGGCTGGGAGGCATATCTCAGGAATGCTGGAGAGTGGATTCCTTCCTTTGAGTGGGACTTTGAAGCGAAAGAGTCTAAATGTTTCCTCCAAGGGTGTGTGATTCAATCACAAAACTATTTAGAATACTTGGGTCAGGATGGAGCCAGGATTTCCCTCTTCATTATAGATCATTTGAGCTTTTTCAGACTTAACACTATGAAGGTTTGTTTTTAAACATAATAGAATAGATTTATCAAGTTTTCTCATATTAAGTCACAAGTTGATTGCATATTCAGTTTTGGTGGTTATATGTCACCTTGCAGACAACCAGCTAATATGAAAGAAAAATGGAATGAGCCTTAAAATGGTAAATTTTGACTGCCTGATAAATAAATATACCCTAAAGATTCAATAATTCAGTACTTTGAGTTATTTATCTCTCTCAAAAGATTTCTGAAATCATTCTTTACTGTTTCGCTTGATTAATTCTTTCATCTCTACGATGAAGATCACTTTATCCATGGCCACTGCACAGACTGAGTTATTAAACAAATGGCAAGGTGATAAACAGGTTGATGTTAATCAGCTGAAACTGTAAAGAGCCTGGGTGAGCAGGCTGGGGCTGGTAGCTTTGATACTAATCATGGTTTTGAGAACCACAGCTGCTGTATGTCTGTATATTCATAAAGCATAAGTGGCTAATTTGCAAGCAAACTGGTCATCGGTACAAGCTATCTGCATGGCCAGGAGTAGATCCGAATCACTTGTGTGAAGTACCTACATGAATTTCTTTAGGGCAGTCGGTTGCCAGTCTTTTCATTGGGAGATGAAAACAATAGCGATGGCTGGAGCTTTACTATGGCACCTAAGTGAAAATCTGGGAATCACATAGACTTCCAAAAAATCACTGAGTAGAGAAAGTCATCTCCCACTCCAGAGAAAGTTTGCAAGGACCGAATTAAATATCGATGGCTTTATTACTATTATAATTATTATTATTTACATGTTATAGGAAACCTGGACATGAGTTATTGCATCTTTTTGTTCTTGACACTCCTCAGACATTCTGAACCAGGACCCAAAACGTCATCATGGCTGGTTGGTGAGAGGTGACAAACATGTGCAAGGGATCAATGTGCGCAAGCAAAGACCTGAGTCATAAACCAGCTTCCTTGAAGCTGTCTTTTCTCATAAATGGACACCATAAGCTGATGACACATTTCTAGGTAGAAGATGCTTCCTTTGGTAAAAAGATCATAATGATACCTGGTTAATATTTAAATATCTGAGCAAGTGGCTAATGCATGAACCTGCTGTCACTGTGCAGACTGGAGTTATAGGCAGTTGGGGGCCTTGAGAGCAGGGCAGCAGTGGAGGGCTGGGAGTGTCCACCCTGGATTACAAGGAGAGGTTTGTGCCCCCTCCATCTCCCCTGAAAGATACAGCCACACAAGTAGGAGAACAAGGGTAAGAAGTCGGATTTCTCATTTGTCTCCCCCAACCTCCCTCCTTTTAGTGCATCCTGTGTTGGTTCCAAAAGTTCACACCATGGTTGTAGAAAGGACACATGGCTTTATTTATAACAGCACTTCCCAAATTACAGTAGATTGTTTTTCTGGAAAGAAGGGAAGTGTACAGGGACATCTCCATTATTAACTCCTCCTTGGCAGCCCGCGAGCGAACCAAGCCGGTAAGTTTCCTGGGGTTTTCAGGAGCCATTGGTGAGCCAGTGTTGTGCTCCAGGATGGACAGCACGTAGGGCTTCCTGAGCTTATTTGCCCATAAAATCCTTTTTCATGGAATA